AAAAAAATTGAAACTAGCTGGGTACCAGTGGCTTACACCCATAATCCTAGATACTCAGGAGGCTGAGATCTGAGGATCACAGTTCAAAGCCAGCCAGGGCAGGAAAGTTCATGAGACTCTTTCCTCCTCCCTCCCCACCATGAGACTCTTATTACCAATTAGCCACCAGAAAACCAGAAGTGGTGCTGTGCCTCAAGTGGTAGATGGCTCACCTTGAGCTGATGAGCTCAGGGACAGCGCTCAGGTCCAGAGTTCAATCCCCACAACCTACAAAAATTAAAATTAAAATAAAAAATTAAGTAAAAATAAAAGCAGGAGGGTCATGGCCTGGGTTAAAAAGTCCAACTGGAAAAATAACTAAAACAGAAAGACTTTGGGGAATATAGAACAAGCATGACACTGAGTTCAAAATATAGTACCACCACCACTACTACCACCAGAAAAAGAGAGCAAGCCAAGTGCCCAAGGCTATATGTGCCTATATAGCTACTCGGAAGACTGATGTCAGAATAGCAGAGTTTGAAGCCAATCAGGGCAAGACAAGTACAAGAGATTCATTCTCTCCAATTAACTAGCAAAAAGCCCTAGAACTGGAGGCCTGGACCAACTGGTAGAGTGTGCCAGTCATGAGTGAAAGCTGAGAGCTCAAGGCCCAGAGTTCAAGCCCTAATAACTCAGCTCCATTTAGGAAGTCCAGAAGCTTCTGTGAGAACAATCATTTATGTACATTCATTCACTGTACATTGGTTGCTTAAGATCATGCTTAAGATCATTATGGTCCATGGAGGAAAAAAACCACATTGCCTATAGTAGGCTTTATGCACATGCTGCCCAGTTGCTGACCCAGGACTTGCCTGGGAAGGGTAATCTCTAGTGACAGGGGTGACAGCAGCTGCCAAGAGCATGGTTCACCTAGGAACAGGGCCATTTCACTTTCCATTTTTGAAGCTGGCTTTAAACTTGTGGTCCTTCAGTCTGCCTCTTCCTGAATGCTGGGATTACTGTACCAAGAAACCTAGCTCAGAACAAGGCTGTTATAAGAAGCCTGTTCTCTAGGCTGACTGCAGCTCTGTGAACAAGCCTGTCCAAGAGGTCTGGCAGGTACAACATCCATTTTAGACTTGCAAATGTTTAAGTGAAAATTTACCCCAGGGACACCAAGGAGCTAATTCTATTTGTATCTCCAACAAAACTGAGAGACTTGGGAAATTTTTGATCTGAGCTAGAAAAATCCCTGTTTCTCGGGAGTTGTATACTATTTTGCTTGAAAGGCGGAGTATGGAATGCAGAGCCCCCACACAAACTTCGGCCTGGATTTTCTCCTCTGACCTGAGTCAGTCTCCTTTGCCCTAGAATGAGTTTTCATTTGCAAACTCCTCTGGGAGCTCAATCACCTGATCTCACACAGGGTATCTCACTGTTGCTTGGCAACCTTGCTGAAGGATGCCTCGGTAAAGGCATTTTCCCTGTCCATTAAGATTTATTGTTCTTTTACTCAGTGGTAGAGCACTTGCTTAGTATGCACAAAACTCTAGGTTCGATCCCCAGCACTGAAAAAAAAATGGTTGTTTTAGCAAAGACCAAAGGGATAAAAGACAAATTTAAAATGTAATCCTCACCATTATGAAAAGGAACAAGGATCCATAAGACCCCAAAAGATATAACAGGAGTATCCTAAATGGGGATCCCCAGAAGGCAAATGCAGATCAGGTTCATTCTGTTTCAGTAAGCTCACAATGGTATTCTCCCTGGCAAAGCATGTAGCATTAAGGCTGTACCTACAACTTGGAAATTTCTAGGGCAAAGAAATCTACCACTGTTACCCTTGGCTCTCAGGTGCTAGATCTGTAGACCTTTTATCTGTAGACCTATAGATCTTACCTGCTCTTCCCTTCCCAGTACTGGGAGTTTGAACTGGGCGTCTCATAATTGCTTCAGCAGGCACTCTAACCACAAAGCCACACCTCCAGCCTCACCTAACCTTGTGCTGGTAGAGTTTGATTCTTCATTTGCTAGAATTTGATGCAACTCACCAAGCATCACTCCTTGGGAGTGGACCTGCTTCATATACAACTCAGAAAAGACTAGGTTAGGGCTGGGCATGGTGGTACACAACTGTAATCATAGCACTGGGAGACTGAGATAGTCTCCTTGCCAAGTTAGAGGCCAGTCTCAAGTACACAGAAAGGCAGTATCTCCAAAAAAGAAAAATACGGTGTTAGGATTTGAAGTCCCTTAACTTCCCTCCTTTGGAAGCTTTTTTAGAAATCCCTTTTCCGTGCTGGGAAGGTGGCTTAGTGGTAGAGTGCTTGTCTTGCATGCATGAGGCCCTGGGTTCGATTCCTCAGCACCACATAAGCAAAAA